TTGTAGATCGTGGGGTCCAGCCCCCCTGCACATGTAAAAACAATCTTCAGTTCCCCTTGTGACCATCACAGAGTCTCTTGGGAGGTGCTGCCGGTAGACTGGGATGGGCGGCAGTGGTGCTTAGCACCATCAGACACAATATATGGAGCTGGGGGAAGGGACACAGGTGCAACAGTAGGGTCCTGAGACATCGGTCGTACCCAATCCAAGTGCCAGAGATGGATGCACTGGGGGAAGAGGAGTGTTTTGCACGCCTTGCAGCCCATGCGGTCAGGGAGGCCCTTCCAGTCTTTGGTGCGCATAACCGGTTGCCTAAACCCTGCGCTGGCAAACGTGTCCCTTCCCAACCCCCCCTGCCCCGATGCTCCCCATTGCCTGGCTTCAGGAGCGTGCATAAATCTCCCCAGAAATCCCTCCCTGGCACGAAGGCTTACGGCGAGGTCACATTATGGGTCCATAAATCGTAGCTATCGAGCGGCAGTTCCCACTCTGCAAAACGGAAATTGCTGCCCTGAGTGTGACAGGGGGAAGCCTTTCCCTCTGCTCCCATTGTTCTGGCTCCCTCCGGGAGTTGTTCAGGCAATTTGCTGCCTGAATAAATGTTTCCTTTCCAGGCTGCTACTACAAGGTGGGGGACAGAGTAAGTGTCAGGAGGGCTCATAGTGCCTGGATTTAAAGCTCTGAAAACACTTATTTAGGCGCCTTCTACAGGGAGTCTCCGGAGTCTGACTTGACTCAATCCCCATTATTAGCCAAAAAGGCAAAGTCAGACTAGCAGAGCGTAGGAAAAAGCCAAAGAAAGCAGGCAAAACAACTCTGCGCGTTCATACCCTGAGCGATCACTGCTTGCAGCTACGACTGGCCAGTTGTTAGGACTAATAATTGGTTTTTGTGGAGGGCTCTTCATGTGGTTATCTGAACAGGGCTCTCCCACCACCTGTAGATCTCTCCTCGCAAGCCCCTGTGTGCCGAAAAGCAGTGTTATCCCCATTATACAGGTTGAAAGACTGAGGTAGACCAAGATCAAGGCCCAGACCTTCCAGAGAGGTGTCTCACATTGAGTGCTTCAGGTTTCATGGATTGTTAAGGCCATGGGGCGGGCAACATGGCCATCTCGTCTGACCTCCTGAATAACACGGGCTGGAGAACTCCACCACATAATTTCTGCTTTCAGCCCGAAAAGCTTTGGGTGCCCGATTCGTGATACCGATGCGGAGCATTCAGAACTTCAAGCCACTTTTGTGCATTTGACACACGGTGCCACAGAAGCAGGAGGCTTTCTTGAGCCTGCATCCAGAGCAAGAGGGGCACTGGGAGGACATGGGACCAGCGGTGGGGGTGAGCACACAGTTACTGCATGTAGGAGCCTGGAAGAAGCTTGGGTCGATGTAGGAAGAGACACGTAGCCCGTGAAGAGTTCCAAGGAGGGAAAGGGTGACCGGCAGGAACAGTTAAGAAGCTGCTTTCTCATTTTTGCTGATGCCGAGATTTTGAAGGCTGCGGGCTATTGTGATCACGCAGCCTGACCTCAGCAGAACACAGTCCAGAGCCTCCAACTCTCCTTTCCTACATCTGGCTCAGAAGCATGTAGCTGAGTGAGAGCATCTTTTTGAGAAACCCGTCTAGCTTCAGCCATCTACCCTCTCATTCACCGCTAGGAGAAATGGACATGTCCAAACACTAAACTCCATATATTAAACCATCTCTTCTCGCCCAATTTAATCCGTGCTGTGTAAAGACAGTGCGTGCGTCTACATGAGACACTTAATGCGCAGTAGACTAATGCTGCTGCACATTAGCGTGCATGGCAAAAGCCGTGCTAACATGCTAATGTGCAGTAGTAGTAGTCCACTGTGCATTAAGCATCACACCAAAAGCTTGCAACCATGCTCATGTGCAGTATGGCAGCCTACTGCATATTTACTTAGTATTTGGTTTTACAAGTGCTAAATTTAATGCACAGTAGGCCCTGCGCATTAATGAACATGTAGACGTGCCCAGTTGTCCTTAAAATGATTTCAGCACCGTAAAGCCTGCCCCAGAGGGGAAAGACACATCTCTCCTGCAGTTGTGATCTCTTCCTGGTGACAGATCCGAAGTCACGTATTGCATTGCGACCAGGTGAGAACTTTGTAGGCTTCGTCTTCAGCATCTGGTTCAGCATTTGCTGCTTGGACAGTGCAATGATGTAGTCCTCCCATTAGGGTTACTTCTGCTAGAGATAACATTTTAGCAACCTACTTCCAGGAGCATCAGCACAGCGATGGACTATGAATGGTCTGATTTTCAGACCCTGAAGGCTCTTTGAAGTTACTAGGAGTTGTGGGAAATCAGCATGATTGAAAAAAGTAGGCTATAGAATCGGAGGGATGGATGTATTTCAGTGCCTCCACATGCAGAGCTAAACGGGAACTGATTTCCCTAAGATACATTTGAACAAAAATGAAAAAAAAATTCTCATTTCTGCCAACACATTCTGTATAAAATTTTGACTATGGGTCAAACAATTACAAGCCCGGAGAATGAAAATAATCCATTGAAGACTGAAGAAATGTTTCATTCAACCAGAAACCAAAAAAAAAAAAAAAAAGTCTGATCAAATATTTTCCCTCAGAGGTAGCTTTAATTAAGCAATTTGGGAAATGTTGGCAATTTTCTTTTATGGAGGGACCAGCTCAAACCCACTCGATCCAACAATTCTAAGACGGCTTTTTAGTATTTTTTTTCATTGAAAAAAAATCATTTTTTTCCCCATTATTTCATTTTCTGTTAGCATTGAGCTTTTCCACTGGGAAGAAATCATTTCCTGACCAGCTGCTCTAGCAACTTTTCTTTTCAAAAGAAACCTTTTGGATCTAGGGCAGGGGTAGGCAATGTTTTTTGGCTGGAGTGCCGAAAAACCTACCTTGGAAGGTGCTAGAGTGCCGGCATGCCAGAAAAAACAGGTTCGTGGTAGCTGCTGATAGCTGTAGAGCCCGGGTTGCTTGCAGCAGGGCTTCCATCCTCCCAGCCGGCTGTGGGGAGCAGCCCAGGCTCGGCGGCTATCAGCAGCTACCACGAACCTGGGCCGGCTGCAGCTGGGAGGCTGCAAAGAACTGCTGCCTCCCCGCCCTGGCCATGGCTGTCTCCCAGCCCCAGGCTCTGGGAAGACAGCAGGTGCTGGCACTGTTGCCCCAACCACTGCTCCCTGGCAGCCACGTGCTGCCCAATCTGGGCATGCCCCTTCCCGCCTCTTGGGGCAGGAAGCAGCCGCGTGCCAGTAAAAAGCATGCCGCATGCCACGTTGGGCACACGTGCCATAGGTTGCCAACCCCTGTGTTAGAGGATGGTTTCAGGTTGGATGTACAGAAGAGCTTCTTTACGGTAAGGGTGACCATGATCTGGACTAGATGGCCCAAGGAGGTAGTGCAGTTCCCTGCAAGCTTCTGATCTACTCAGTTGGTCTAATAAAAGATCAGCCTTCTCAACCTATTTGCCACAGAGGGCCACACTTGCAGCTCTTGGTGTGTTATGTCGGCCGCACCCGCACAACTTACTTCCTGCGTGTCCATTTGCAAAATGTTTGAACGAGATGTCATGTGGGCCACCGCAGCATGAGGACTGGGTTGCATGCATCCCGCAGGCCGCCGGTTGAGACTGCTGCTCTAGAGGATAAAACTTCGAGGTGCTACAACTGCAACCCACATCTACCCAAACAACCTTGCCTGCCCACGTCCTTAGATCAATACTGCTACAACCAAAAACCAAGGCAGAATAGATTCGCTTTTGGGGCTCTTTTAGGGTTGTGATGCCAAAGTCTCTCTTTGGCATCTCTCTGTTTGCAGGACCACGTTTTGCAAGCTGACATCTCTGGCCAAACTTGCACACACGGACACTTGATGCCAGACAGGCTAGCAAATGCCCATATACGGTACACGGCCTAATCTGTAACAGTGATTCTCAATCAGGGTGTCATGGCAATGTTAGTCATGTTATGCATACAACCGTGATTCACAAGATAAGCCCAGAGATTTCAATTCATAGTGTGATCCGAATGTTAAAACCATTCTGCCCTGCGGTGCTGTTTCTGAGGTCTTTGCAAGAGAAGAATTGCTCTAGGATTTTTCTGTAGTCAAATAACATGAAGAGCTGGCATTTTCTCGGGGGCGGGGAGGAGCAGGAGCTTGACTCTAAAAAGTTTGGGAACTGCTAATCTACGGGGTTGCACCTCCCTCTAGCGGCTCAGGGGGACTCTAGCACCTTGGTACGCGCTCATGATTTCAGGCGCAGAGGCCTGCCCTGCATGTGATGAAAGCCACCTGTTGAAACACATGCGGGTGAATCGTGTCAGCAAACACGTACTTTGTTGTGTGCAGAAAGCTGGATGCTGCCCGTGTCTTCCCGACTTGTGTGTGCAAATGGGAATTTTGCACGTTCAGTAGGCGCACGTGCGGGTTTTTTTAATGACTGTTTGGCTATTCGCATTAATCTTTAACTTGACTTCAGCAGGGGACGGATCGGGTCCTGTCTCAGCAGGGTGGGTTTGATCAGGAAAGAGAGCCTGAGCGTCTACTCCTTGAGGCAGTGTCGTGGCTCCTGTTATCACTGTAGTGTCTGAACCCTGTGGACTCTTACTGGGGTGGGGAGGTTTTATTCTGGTTTTATGGAGCAGCTTAAGTAGCTTGTCTGAGGTCCACAGAAAACATGTGGCGGAGCTGGGCCCAGGGTTTTATAGAGCAGCTTAAGTAGCTTGTCCGAGGTCACACAGAAAACATGTGGCGGAGCTGGGCCCAGAATCCAAGTCTCCTGAATCCCAGCCCATCAGTCCTCTTGTTTCCGCTCGGGATGAAGTGCTGCTTCTACGGAAAACCCCTGCGAGCGAGCTCACGGTTCTCCTAGTGTGCAAATACTCAGGGACCAGGGCGGGATGCTTCAAAAAGAAAAAAATGCATTTAACTAATTCTTCCCCCCCCTCTTTCTCTTTC